AGCCAGATCGAAGCAGCTGTCCAGTGCTTCCTAGCTTTCCAATTCACGCTTCGTTTGCTATATACATCATAGATTCGCCTGTGTACACGTATGTTCAAATCAATTTTACTAGTAGAGACAATAAGTCAAAGTTGAGCAGCTGAGAATGTGCCGTTCAGAGCTGACTTTAACTTTTGGTGCACAAGTTTGATTTTAACCCAATTTTTTATTGATCGATATTAGATAATCTACTGCTAGAACGAGACGATTTCTAAAGACATGATTTCAGATTGAAAATGAACGAGAAAAATGAATTACGATAAACAGAAAATAATTGACATTCGTGGTTAATCGTGTGTGTTTGTGGACAAATCCGTCTGTTACCAAAAGTTTTAAATGCTGTCAAGTGGTAAAATGATATGCACTCAAATCGTGACACTATCAAAACTGTACTTGTTTGATGAGAACTTCATAATTTCGCCCTAATTATTATGACTCGTTTATCTTTTACNGTTACGATGAGGTGATTCTTGTGCAAATCCTCTGGAGATATGCCATGGCAATATTTCAATTCATCTTTGGACATGCATTCGCTTTAATAAAAATGGAAATGTGAACAACAATCAAACCAGGAGAACCATAATTTTGGTTCTGGTCACCTTTGACCCACTGACGGTTCTGCATCAATAGCTGGCAAGAGTAGAGCTGCAGTCTCACACGTTGCGTGAAAGTATTGGATGCCGGTGACCAAATAAAAACACAACTGTTCGAACTTGACCTGACTTTGTGTGTTCTCATTTTTGATTTCATTGTTATGCACTATTGTCAGAGATCAAAAGCTTAAATTTTCTAGGGGATAGATTTTGTTGTGCAATGAGATTCTGTGTTTGTCCTATGGTTCTCATGTACAGTACCGATTTTACAGGCAATCTGGATGCCGGTAATTTAGCAGCAGCAGCAGCAACAACAACAATAATAATAATAATAATAATAACCTAGATAATAAGAAAAAAACTGGTTAGTATTTTATCTAGATCCATACCCTGCTCCGATGGCAGTTTAAGAATGAGGACTAACAAAACGTTACCCAGATTCCTGAGCTCTGGTCAGTTTCATCTATAAAATTAACACCCTCGATCGAAACATCCAGTGCTTTCGACTGACTGAGTTGCACAGTTCTGATCTATTAGTACTTACTCGTTACTTACCAGCATTTGTGTGAACAATGGAAAGTGTATTCATTTCCGTGTTTCATCGTCTTAAAATGCAGGACAATTAGTCAGACAGACCTCGAATGGAAGCTCACTTTCAAAACTAAATTTTCTAGGATAAAACAAAGATGGTAATAAACCATTTTCATTGTTTTCATTCCATGCAAATTCAAATTCAGGGTCTGCGCATTATTGTTTTTACATCGAATCCCAGATGATGCATTTTAGATTAGTCAGTCATAGCTGAAATGAATCAGCTATGCATTGCTTTTGGTCGACCTTCAGACATATCAAACATAGTAAAAATGTCTACTGACAAACAATATATCTGGGCGGATTTAAACAAATATTTCGTAATCTCGGCTCAAGGTAATTTGCTATCTCGTCAAACAACTGACTTTTATAATTTAGTATCCTAAATTCGGTAAAGAAGTTCATCAAAGAGATAATCAGATTTAGATAATTAGTCTATTATATTTTTTAATTTTGAAGTATTGATAAAGGGAGATTACCGAACATGTGAACCGGTATAGTTCGGCATCACTTGGACTTGGGGATCGTCTGTTCAAATTTTGCCACGGCTACTTATCAGCTTTTACTTCTACATAGACCCAAACAGCCTTCAATCTACCATAGCCCCTTCTTGTACCAGTATTTACTCAGTATGAACATGGAGTAAAGGAAAATCAATAATCGTTTTTGTTCTAATGGCCCTAACATTTTACTACTCATTATCAGTTTATTGTAATTAAAATAGTTTGCAGTGAACTTTGCAAATACTTTTCTGTTCACTTTGTTATCACGCTTTCGACACAACTTAACAGTCGTCAATTATCCGTAACTAACAGATACGGGTTAGTTCAAGGCCAATAGCGACAAAGCATTTTCAGTGTCGTATCTGTTGAATCAGAAAGGATGTGCAAAGCACAACCTGAAAGTTATTGCTCTTACATCAGAAGATTCCAAACATTCCTAATACATAAGGGTGATTCGATCCAGTCGGCGCTGATGCTGGTACCCCTCCGAGAACACACAGCGCTTAGCATTGTTGATTGACTCTCCCTCGCCTCAGCTGATCGATTCAATTCTGATTCAAAATATCGTGCACAGTTAGTGAGTGTGGCTCTGGCTAGATCACCTGGACGATGTCAAATGGACTTACCCATCGATACTTGTGTATGTGACAAACACTCGAGCGTCCGTGCATCGCACCTTGGTCGCATGATATCCCGGCAGCATCTGACTCTCTTGCTTGCATTCGGGCAGCTGCTCCATATCGGTGGGTAGTTCGGTCGAACCGTCCATGAGAACGATGTGTGTTTGGAATCTGTATGCAGGTAGGGCGGAGGAAGAGTGCAGAGTAGAAGTCATTTCTGTAGATGCTTGAGTAAACAGCTTATCGATTTGTTTGTCCAAATGATGGTCATCTGAAAGGACCAGATTTTTGCCTCTGACTGGCTATTGTTTGTAGATCATCTTCATAGGCCGTCTTCAGTTCATACAGTTAACCATAAATCCATGTGCAAAAGTACTAGACTTGTGGTTTTGCTCTTAACTGTTGTATTTAAACCACAGTCCATCCATGGTTCAAACCCCAAGGTTTTATTGGCTGCATGTGTGTATGAGTTATTCAGAATAACAGGAATAACGGACTGAACGGAATCAAGGAAGATGGTGATAATCGATTTTTGACGAATGTCATCAATTTACCTTTATGTCGGAAGGTTTAAACGGCATCGTACAATGCCCACATAATGTGGTCAGAGGCGACAACGTTCATTACAACGCGTTAAACACTTCTTGTCGATAACCAGGAACCATCGGTAGATTGTGTATTTGACCGCAAAGTGTAAAAAAAATCATATTTCGAGAAAAAATGAGCCAATCGTTTGAACCAATTTCATGCCGAAGTTCTCCGTTGTTTTATTGAACTTCGCAAAAGTTTCACAAGTGCAATCATACCCGGTGTATCTGAAATTCCGTCGTTATGCTTGAACTATTGCGCATCTGGTTTTTATCAAACGTGTTTTGTCCCAATAAAGTTGATATTAATTTTCAATACCGGTGTGTGTAGATATAAAATCGATTGATTTAATGATTTAAGTCGGCGTAAGTTATTATTATTATTTTCTCAATCTAAACAGAACCATGAAATCTATATCCACCTGGATAAATCTGCGCCACAATTTATTTTTTGATATTTTCAAATAGCTATCAATTCACTTTTGAGCTTAGATTAATTTTAGAATACTTTCTAGGCATCACATGTTAAACGGATCTCAGACAATAGGTTTTTCAATGAGCTGGGGGACAGGACTGG